AATCGAAAATTTTTTTTTTTATTATATGTTTCTTGATGCCATACATTTTAAACTAAATTCTCAAACCTCCCCTTCACAATCACGCCAACCTCAGATGATGAATTTTATGCTTTCTAACTCATTTTTTTTTTTTTTTTTTGAAAAATTAAAGTTGACATATCCTCGATGTATATGGAAAGGAAAAAAAATATTAAAATTTTACTTGTAGTATCCCTAAGTCGTCTTTTCTGTGAACATTTCGGATTCTTATGTATCGATTTTCCCTCCAGATTCAATAAATTAAAAGTACTTTCGAGTTGAAGAGTCTCTTAAATTTGTTGTACATTTCATCATGCTAGTTTTTGTACTCTTTTGAATATTCTAAATGCTGGTTTTTGAACCCACAATTATATCCCTACTTCGTTATTATCTAGAAATTTTTTCTACATCCTCAATCGACATAGAAAGAAAAAAACGTAGAATTTTACTAGTAGTGTACCTAAGTCGTCTTTTCCGTTAACATTTAGGATTCTTGTACATCGATTTTTCCTCCAATTTCAATAAATTTAAAATATCTTCGACTTCAAGTTGAAGAGTCTCTTATATTTGTTGTACATTTCACCATGCTAGTTTTTGTACTCTTTTGAAGATTCTAAATGCTGACTTTTGCTTAGCATTTGTCTGTTTGTTCCAAGACACTTGGGTTTTAGCTTAAACATGTGCGACTAACGTTAGTATCTATGCCCACAATTCGAATCAAAACAAAATTTTCTGTTAAACTAATAATTTAATTAATTGACAAATTTTATTATTATTAATTTAGGTCAAAGGGAGACGGCTCTCTTTTGGTTTTATATGGATCTGAAGGAAATTGCCACAACTTGAGACACCAATCTATCCTACTTCTTGCTTTGGGTTTATCTATTAACTTTTCTTATTTTTATCGAGTTCTTTGTTTTTAATAACAAATTATTTCACTTGTTTGTTGTTTTTGTCATATGCAAATAAATAAATAAAATACAACTTGATTGTTTATTTAGTTTTTGAGGTGGTTCGATCCATAATCAATTCGACCAAAATGTTATCGCTATTTATACGGTATACGTAAGCATACAATTATAAGTCATTAATTGTACTCTTATTTTGTGAACTTATCTCTAGCTAGCTATTAGCATTATTCTCAATTTCTAATAATGAATTTGACAACTCTTTTACAGTTTGAAAATAAAGCTTCGTTAGATTGAGTAACACAAAGATTTCTAAAAATCGACTTTTCACGTACGAAAATTTTAAAGATAATTATATTGTAACACAAGCATCCTCTTTTCTATGAAATACTACGATTTTATATAAATTAGTTCAAAAGTCAAACTTATCAAGAAAATCAAGTGGAAACATCTTTAACCATATGTAGTTGATCTTAAATTTTTAGTGCTAATGAATTGAAACTAAAGTTGAAGCTAACCTTTTATTTTTAATTTTAGTTTAACAATTATACATTCACAGTGCATGTTAAACCATATTGATTCAGGGATTTGAATAATAAGTACAGAATTAGGGGATTGTATCAAGGTAGATTAATGTGTATTTTCCTAATATGGCGTTTGGTGATACACTATGTTAAAAAAAATGTATAAAAATTGAAATATACAAAATTTGTGAAAATAGATTTTATCATATGAATTTCACTTCTTCACTATAATTTGCACATTATAATGAAATCAAATATTGAATGTGATTAGTTTAATCTTTATCCCGTCTACTATGGTGACCCAAACTTACCTCTTCATCAGTTATTAGTTATTACTGATAGTAGGTGACACAACAGATTGTGCCATGGGCGGATCTACAGTGGGGTTGGGGTCTGCTATCTGTACACTAAATTTGAAATTCAAGATTTTGTAATAGTTTTTAAAAAAAATTCTTAAAATTTTTAATTTTGTCCCCACAATTAAAATTTTATAAAATTTTCCTCAACAACTCTACTCTTTTGCCTCCACCCTTGGTCACCATGCTAAACAAATATTTTGTCACTGCAAGCTGAATTAAAATAAATTAATCCTGGACCTGCGTGCACGATGACCAAGATTCTAAGACTAGAAAATATAATTATCTAAAATAGGAAAAGGGATCGGTGCATGCATGCGGCAGCGGGGTTGGTAACCCGACCAACATGCCGCCACATGCGGCGGAGGGCGGCGGCTTTGCCGTGAGCTGTTTTCACAATTTCACATGCAGGGAGTTCTAAGTCAGTAGTCAAATTCTTGTATAGTTGGCTGGCTCTGCTTTTCATTATTTTGCACATAAAAGAATGAGTTTAGGTTATACTCCCAAAAAGCACGTTAGTCACTAATCTATGCTTTTCATGGGACTAAGGTTGTTACTGTACATTCATGTGATCAAGGCACAGGTCGACCACCAATTTTTTGGTGTCCCGTTCAACAATTTAAAATGATACCCTTTCATGTGATTAAATAAAATTACAGGCACCAATAAAAGAAAATTTAAAATAGTGCTTCTTTCATATAACAAAAAGTTACCCTTCTAGAATAAAAAAAATCACAAAGTAATAATTAACAAGTAGACAATCGACATCAATAAAATGACGATATTACAATGTAGATTGTACTACTATAGAGAAAGCAATAAAGACCAACAGTAGAGCTTGTTATCTTCTCTGTTTGACTGTTCATTGTAAGTTAAAAGGATGAGAGAGAGGGAAATAAAGAAAAGGGCCTAAGGTTAGCTTTTCTCTATTTACTTTTATCATTTGTGTCCGAGACTGCTTATTGTCTTGTTAGATTAGTAATTGATTGATGAAGGTAATTCGGCATTTGGGATTGAGTTGATAAATAGATGTTTAAAATATTTTTTGAAAGCAAGATAGTTTAAAATAAAATAAAATAAAAATATTGAAAGCAAGGTAGTTTAAAATAAAGATAGAAGTTTTGAAATGTGTGGTTGAAAAATTGTGAGATCTATGAAAAATGTAATTAATATTGATTGTTTAACTTTTATTTAGATTAAAATCATATTTTAATCCGTACCAAACAAGAACTTAATGTCACATGTCATATTAGCGACACATAAATTGAGGTTATAACTCTAGTGGGGCTAAATAGCGCTATTCCCTTCGAAATTATTATAATTCTTTACATTTTCTTCGTATATACTATTTAATTGAGTCAATATATGAAGTACTAAAAGTCAAAATATTTTGAATGCATTGAATTATAAGGAGTGGGTCTAGCTCTTCAAATTTGAATAGTCAAACTCAGTCTATAATTTAAAATGTTAATTTGAAGAATATCTTTAGATCATAATTTTAAGCGTTGATTTTTTAAAATAAAGAATATTTCTCTTTTAAAGAATTTTTTGAAAATACTCTCACAAACTAGTCTTCACGGGTAAAAATTAAATTGTTTTCAAATGTCTTTTAGTCCTTCACAATGACTACTAGCCCTAGGTAGTGCCATATTATTTTTTACATCCCTAGAAGTTAGCCGTAGTGGAAACTCTAAAAATAGAGTTGTCGTTGATTACTAAAAATTCTGCTAATCATTATATGATGAATTTATTTATTTATTTATTATTATTATTATTTTTAGATCACATTGTTTTCGATATAATGTAACATAAAATTGAGAGAAGGGAGAAGGAATTTCGAAAGAAGAAAATTTCTAATTCAAAAACTCAATAATAACGATGTAGTGTATTGTAAAATTTAAATCCTATTTTTAGCGTTCCTCGACTAAGCCCCTTCCTTAGAATCTATGTTAGAATCTCACAAAGAGCACATTAAACTCGTTTTGAAGTACATTAGTGACAAATGCTGCTTTTGGCAACCAAAATTCCCACTTGCACCACTTCTGCTTTTGTTAAACCTTTATTTTGCTTAAGCTCTAATTATTCTTAGTGCCTAAGCTAAAGCTCATATTTTAGTACGGACGATACCGTTTCCAGACATTAAAAAGCACATTGCTATA